GTTCCACTTATTCATGCATTCATTGGTTGACTCTTGTATGTGCGCTGACCAGGATCATAACCTTGGCATATCGGGACAATGCTCTAACCAACCGAGCCACCTTGACCGGGCCCTAGCCATTGTTTCTTTGAATACTCTTTCCTGCCCCATTCTTCCCCTTCTGTCTTTTCATCTTAATTGCACATATGTAGATATTTTCAGATTGTCCCAGAGAGCCCTCCAGCTCTTTTGATGCAGTCCCCACTTTTTCAGACGAAGTAAATTCTTCTGATACATCTTCCAGTTCACGGATTTTTCCTCTGTCATTCCACTCTGTGCTAGGCCCGTCCAATGAACTTTACATTTAAAAAATTGTTTTTCGTTATTGATTTTGGAGAGAGAGAAAGGGTGAGGGAGAGACAGAAACACTGATGAGAAAGAATATCAGTTGGCCGCCTCCTGCATGCCCTCCATTGGGAATCAGGCCCACAACCTGGGCATGGGCCCTGACTGGGAATTGAACCAGCGACCTTCTGGTACATGGGTCAACGCTCAACCACTGAGCCACACTAGCTGGGCAAGTTTTCTGATTCTCGAACTTGGTATATCCCTCCATGTATTTATTTTTCTGCAATTCCTCAATCATGGTTTACAATTTTATGTCTATAGGTCTTGTACTTGTTTTTGGTTAGTTTTATACCAAAGCATTTGGTTTTTTGAGGCTCCTGTAAATGGTGTCATTTTATTTATTGACTGATTTTTTACAATCCTCACCCGAGGATATTTTTCCATTTACATTTTAAATGTTTAATCTTTTACATCTGAACTGCCACTAATTGGTCAGTGCTTACTATTTATTTATTTTGATTTTTTAAATTAATTTATTTTTGTTACAGATGTTTCTCTTTTTCCCCCCACTGATTCCCCCCTTCCCTTCCCTCCCCGTCCTGTCCTCAACTTTGTTGTCCATGTAGTGCCTACTATTTTAGATTTAGGTAGCCTGTCTGAACAATTGGTGCCCACTACGAGGACGGTGCCCATGACCAGCGATGGCTGTCGCATTGCCCAGGGTACCTGCAGGGAAGCTAAAAGTTTTCAGGATTGGAGCTCGGGCTTTATAACCTGAGCATTGGAGCTGAGTAAGGAGCAACTTACATCAGGCGTTAAGCACAGCAACAAGCAGTTCTCGGCAACCACACGATGGGCATGATGCTTACAAAGTGGAGCCTGGCAGTGTCACCCCTGTCCAGGTAAGGGGGGCTCAGGATGCCACCAGGCCATGAGAGAACTCACCTGATAGCAAGACTGTCCCTGGCTTGCACTTGGGGGGTCAGGGAGACATCAGGAGAAAGCTGGCCTGTCCGAGTGATATCAGGAGAGGGAAGTTCCCACTTGAGCTTGAAAGTTTCTTTCTGGGCTGAACAAGTCAAACCCATATACAATAGCCATGGTCAGGCCCTCGTGGGAGTCAGCCAAGAGGCTGTTGTGAGTGAGTCATTCGAGAGTTCCAGGCAGCCAGCCCCCATCTAGATCTGGGTCAGTCTCCGAGAGCAGCCGGCCTGATTCTGACTGTAATTTAGGAGCGGACGCCTAACCAGTGGGGTGCTGCTGTCTCAGAGGCTGTGTGGATGGAGGGGCCGGTCAGCCATTGCAGCACCAGTCTGGCAGCTTTAAGTCCAACTCCTGGGTTTGTGTCCTCCAAAAGAGAGACCTTGGGCCATTGCCTTGACCTTCCTGAGCTTCAGGGCTTCAGTCTGGCTGTTAACGGTGGCCACCTTAGCAGATCTGAGCATTGCCACTTTCTTAGCAAGGCAGAACAGAGAGGGACTCTCTTGACCAGTGGACTCCACTGCAGACACCCTGCATCACAGGCTACTGTACTGCAGCCTCGTAGCCAGGTACTGAGGCGGAGAGGCCGGTCAGGCCAAGGAATGCCTCTGCTCTCTGATTTATGAGGTCTCTCCACAAGTGGGCCAGTCATCTAGTGTGTCAGGTCCAATAGTGTCACCCCACTTCATGTCCACTCAGAACTTCACAGGCGACATCATTTGGAAATAGGGTCTTTGCATATGTAATTAGTTAAAAAGCTTGAGATGAAGTAATTTTGGATGGAGGGTGGACCCTAAACCCAGTGACTGGTGTCCTCATGAGATGAGAGGACAGAGAGAAGCCATATGACCAAAATAAATATCTGTTAAATCCCCAGGTCTGTGATTATGTTCCGAGGGCTCTAAGAAATGAATACGTGGGTGTTTACAGATTAGTTACGTATTTATGAGCTTGTCCCTGGGGTGTGGATCTATGCTTGACCAAGCACTGCTGGCTGGGGTGGGGAGTCACCCAGGTGAATAGGACTCTGTGAACCCAGCCCCCAGCTGCTGTTTCATGTAGTATTTCAGGCAGACAACAAAAGCACACGTAATATAACAAACACTGCCTACTTTTCACACAGCCAGAGACGGGCTGAAATGATTGACTTGGTTGTTTGTTTTTTACATTTGAGTATGTCTCGTGCTTTTTCAGTAAACTTAACACACTTCAACGGCCCACACGGCTGTCAGCTGGGAGGCTCATGGCCTCTTCCACCTGCACTGTGGGTGTACTGTTTTGGGTTCCCCCTTCCCACGGCACAGTTTTTTCCATGTTTGAACCTGTTTATATTCACACTCGTTTTCATTCCCTTTCTATGTTCAGTGCGATGGTACTTTCAAGCTACGGAAACCATAACTGCTTGTGGCAACAAATAAAACCACCCAGGCATAGTCAAACAAAATGCCCCAAGTCCCCAGGGTGACCAAGGCTGACTGGCTGGCAGGTCTACCCCTCCCCCCACCATTAGAGGGAGGGGAGGAGCCAAGTGCTTCTGCACCGCGTCGTTCCCTCTCCAGGTGGGCAGAGCCCAGAGGAGCTCGGGTAGAGCTGCCTAAATTGTTTTGGCTGGCACCTTTTCCTGGGGCTGGGATGGTGGGGGCAGGGCACACTCTTCACCTCCCACACTTCCTGCTGGACTGGAGGGTGCCCCGGAGGACTCTGGGGGTTGATGTCAGCACCAATGCGGGAAGAGGCCTGCTGCAGAAGGAGGGGCCTTGGCAGGCACCCAAGGACACACAGAGTCCAGCCTGCAGAGGCCGGGCACAACACTGGGTTGGAGGAGGGTACTGGAGGGCCTTCGGGGGAACTTGAGTGGCCGCCGCTGGGGGGGCGGGGGAGGAGGGGACAGGAGCAGCCTGGGATGGCACGGTGGACCTTTCTCTACTCAAGATCTCAGTGACACAGCAGGAGTGGCCTGGCAGTGGGCCCCTCCCCCGCAGTCACATGGGCCCTGCTAGGGGCTGAGTCTGGGTTTCACTTCCTGGAGGTCTGGTAGCTGCTTTGCCTTTGCATCCCGACTCCTCTGAGCGCTCTGACCCCGTTTCCCACCAGAGGTGTCGCCCACGGGGCTGAAATCCTGATGACGCTTCTGTTCGGCTCACTTGGACGTTTTCTAGTGACTTGTCAACATTTAACATCTTACACACAATTCCGTATTTCTGCTCTCGTTTGAAAGCCAGACTACGGGCCCTCGCTGTGCTCAAGGCGGCCAGGGGCAGTCCCCACCCCAGGGCTCCCCCACTCTCCCAGGTGGTTTCTTCCCTCTTCTGCCTTCTGGGCCCCCAAGGTCGGGTGCAAAGTTCCGGTCCCAGATTACAAGTCTGTAAGACTCGCCCCTGACACTCTGCCCTGGGAGGCACCTTTCCCGGGCTCCGGCCTCCGCAACGGTTCGTGCAACCCGGGCCTCTCATCTCAGAGCGGGTGGCGGGAGCGTCCACTGTCCCCACCCTCCCTGTGGCCACGTCCCGCGGCAGGAGCCCGTCCCGTCTCCCACCGCCTCTCCCCCAAAACGGGAGATGAAAACCACTGGAAAGGTCCTGGCACACCATCTTTTGGTGAAAAACAAATACGCCCCCTAGTCCCCCCAAAAAACGCAGAAAGAGAAATGTGTCCGAAATATTTTATAGCGTGCTCGTAAACGCGATGTCAGATGACTTACAGGAAACAGGGGAAAGGGCCTCCAGACGGTCCGCTCCCCAGGGAGCGCCGGTCCCCGCGACGCGGTCGGCTCCCTCGTGACCTATCACACACGCGTCTGGGGACCAGCGGCCGGGGGACAGGACGGCCACCCCGGGGGGGCCTCGGGCGGGCTTGGCTCGGGGGCACCGGCCTCCCGCCGCGCCCCGCAGACGTGCTGCGCGGGCCGGGTCGCGGACACCCCGCGGGGCCGAAGGGCAGGCCCGAGCTGGCCCCGCCCGGGGCGCAGGCCCCGGTCCCCCGCCCCCCAGCCTGGAGCAAGGGCACCGAGCTGGCCGGTCCTGTCCCGGCCCGCGTGCTTCCCCGGCGCATGGTCGGTCCCGACGGGCGGCGGGGCGAAGGGCTTCCGGGCCGTGGAGCACCGAGTCCCCGCTCCCTCGTCCGCCCGGCGCCCCGTCTGCTCCCCTCCTCTGCGGCCGCAGCCATTTTGGAGCGAGGGCAGACAAAGAGCGGGCCCCGACACCGCCCCCACCCGGCCCCGGCCGCGGGCCCGCACGCCGCCCGCCCCAGACCGCCCGGCGGCCCGCACCCCGACACCCCGACACCCCGCGGCCCCCGGGCGCCCACCGCCCTACCCTCCCGCCGTGCCTCGCAGCCCGCCCGCGCCCCGGCCTCTGCCGCTCGCAGCCATTGGCCGCGCCTTTTAAGCACGAGCCACGGCCAATCGCGAGGCGCCGGGAGGCCGGGCGGGGGGCGCCACGGCCAATAGGGAGGCGCCGGGCGGCGGGCGGGGGCGGGCGCGCCGCCGCGCCTGCGCAGTGCACCGCCGCGGCCCTCCCCCCCGCGCCGGCCGCCCGCGCCTCCCGCCCGGCCGCCGCCCCCGCCCCGCCCGGCGCGCGCCGCCCCCCGCCCGCCCCCGCCGGCTGCCCGCCTGCCCGCCCGCCAACCCGCGCGGAGCCGCCTCCCCGCCCAGCGCCGGCCGAGCGGCGGCGGCGGCGGGCCGAGGAGGAAAGATGGCGGCGGGCTCGGATCTGCTGGACGAGGTCTTCTTCAACAGCGAGGTGGACGAGAAAGTGGTGAGCGACCTGGTGGGCTCGCTCGAGTCGCAGCTGGCGGCCAGCGCGGCCCACCACCACCACCTCGCGCCCCGCGCGCCCGCCGCCGCGCTCGGGAACCACGCCGGAGCCGGAGCGGCCGAGGGCGCGCCCGCCGCGGCGCCGGAGCCGCCCCCCGCAGGTAGAGCGCGGCGCGGCCTGGGGCGGGCGGAAGCCGCCGGGCCCGTGTCTTCACCGCGCCGCCGCTTGTCCCCGCAGGGCCCGCCGCCAAGCTGAGCGCACTCGAGGCCGGAGCGCCGCCGGGGCCCGGGGCCGGGGCCTGCGCGGGGCCGGGGGCCGCGCCCGCCGCCGCGCCCGCCGCCCGCAACGGCCCGCCCGGCGGCCCCGGCGCCGCGCAAACTTTGAATGGGAGCGCCGCGCTGGGGAACTCGCTCCGCGCCGCCGCCGCCGCACCTGCTGTCAGCCTGCTGCACAACGGGCCCCCGCCCGCGCCGCCGCCCAAGCCCGCCGCCGCCACTGTCATCCAGACGCCGCCCTTCCGCGGCGCCCCCACCGCGCCCGCGCCCCGCGCCCCCTCGCCCCCCGCGCCCCCCGCCGCACCCACCGTTCCCCCCGCTCCCCCGTTGCCCCCCGCGCCCGCCGCCGCCCCGCCGCCCGCCGCCGCCGCCGCCGCCGCCGCCGCCAGCCTGGCCCGGCCGGCCGGCCACCCAGCGGGACCCCCGGCGGCCGCGCAGAACGGGGCCAGCGCTGCGCCCTCACCCGCCCCTGTCCCCGCGCCCGCCTCGGCCCCGGCTCCGGTCCCGGCCCCGGTCCCCGCCCCCGCGCCTGCCCCGGGCCCCGCGCCCGCCCCCGCGCCCGCCCCCGCGCCCGCCCCCGCGCCCGCCCCCGCGCCGGCCGCCAACAGTCAGCCCGGGCCTGCCGCCGCGCCCGCGCAGGTGGCCAAGGCCGACTCGCCCAAGACCGCGGTGCAGCCGGCGCCCCCGCCGCCACAGACCCTGGCGGCCAGCTGCCCGGCCGGCGCGGGGGCCGGCATGATCCTCGGGCCAACTATGCAAGGGGCGCTGCCCACCGCCACTGGCGTCCCGCCGCCCGCCCCCGGCACCCCCACCGGGCTGCCTAAGGGCTCGGCCAGCGCAGTCACCCAGAGTCTGCCCAGGACGCCTTCGGCCACCACCAGCAGTATCCGGGCCACACTGACGCCCACGGTCCTGGCCCCCCGCCTGCCACAGCCACCCCAGAACCCGACGAACATCCAGAACTTCCAGCTGCCCCCAGGTGAGTGAGCACTTGGGGGCGGGTCTCTGCTACCCCAGCTGGGAGTCTAGGAAGTTGTAGGACTGGAGGGTTTAAGGTCATGGGTTTTGCACGGGCCTGCAGCAAACTAAGGTGCACCTCTGCTCAGGTGCGGGAGAGTTGTCCAGTGTGTGTGTGTGTGTGTGAGTGAGTGAGTTCTTGCACACCCAGCGTGATGTGGCAGCTGGGATCTGTTATTTTGTGCAGTGGTCGGTCTCAGCTCAGGTCTTTGCGTTGCAAAGTTTCTGTGCTGATGCCCACAGTTCCTCTGCTGGCCGTGTGTGTCCTTCCTTGGTGTCTACTCTGTGGAGGACAGCAGCAGCAGGGGCTCCCTGGGACACCTGACTGGGTCATACGGGGTGTGAAGATATAGCCTGGGTTCATGGTTTTCCCACACTTGGCTGTTTCTTCTCCTGTTTCTGGGGTTAGGCATACGGCCTGTGTTCTCACTGAACTTTCCTGCTCCTTTAGTGTCTGGGGCTGCGATGGTGTCTCCTAATGGTGGGTCAGGCAGGTGATGCTCCCTCCTTGAGGCTGGGCAGGTGTGCATGGAGAGTTTTTGCTTCCCTGCTAACACCAGGATGACAGAGGTCCCGGGGTACCTTCGGGGCTCCTGGGCACACACTGTTCCAAGGCTGCAGTAGTATTTCAGCTCTTCTTGTTGCCACCGTGTTGTTGAGTAGTGTGGTCTCCGAAGAGACCTTGGTTCCTTAGGTTGTTACCGTCCAGTGACATCGGTGGTGGGCACGTGCTTTCCGGTCAGTGGGTCTTTGGAGGTACAGACGGACAGCCTGTGTGTCCTCCACTCTCGGTTCCCTGTCATCTCGCCGTCCTTTTGGGTTCTTCGGGTGTGACAGTGCAAGACCCCCACAGCCTGATGTGCCCTGCTGCTTCGTTCTGGGACCCTTGGCAGAGACTTGACACTTGCAGCGCCCTGCTCTCTGTTCCGTCCGCTGCGCCTCGCCTGTGTGGACTGAGCGCTGAGCTTCTGGAGAGCTCCTCCCTTGCTGTGTAGTAACGTGCTGGTGTAGCAGCTGCCGCGGTGGCAGGAGTAGCAGAAACAGCACCTCCCGTGTCCCCTCGTGCTTGCTGGAAAGAGCCACAGGTCACCCTGAGAAAGAGTTCCAGCCAGTTAGGAAGGAGAGGCCTCCTGTCACTGCAGGTGAGCTGGTCCTGGGGGCAGAGCTTGGCGGGTGTCTGTTTCGATGGGGCGCTGGCAGGGCCGGGCAGCCAGGACCATTGCTGTGGGTGGTGGCGGGCTGCGTGCCAGGGGAGGAAGGCCGCGTGCCGGAAGTTACCTGAGCTCGCTGTGTGTGTTTCCGAGCTTGCAGGGGTGTTTATTGATGGTTATGTGTGCTTTGACCTTTCAGTGGAAAGTGTGCTGAGCGTTAGTGTCGTTTACAGAAGGCAGTCTGTGGCCCTGGTGCATGATGTCAAACGGCAGGAGGCTGCTTGCCTGTCGGAAGGCTGTCCTCGCAGAGCCCTGCCGGGCTCAGCACTCGTCCTGCCCTCAGCAAGGACGGTCTCCGCGTGGTACTTTGGTGATTTAAACCTGCTGTGAGTGTGTCTGAGAAGTTTGAGGTGGGTGCTGGGCCAGTTTCAGGGGCTGTGAGAAGTGTGGTGTTTGGGGTTCATGGAATGGATCCCCTTGGAGTCCCAGTGTAGGGACAGCCCCTGCCTTATTTTTTTCTGGGTGAGGAAGCCGTGGTTCGGAAAGCGTGACCCATCTTAGTCTTGAGTGACCCTGGTGTCGCTTGCCTCTTCTGTTCTGATGTTAGTGTGAGGAGGGATGTCTTCGTGTGACAGGTGGACAGTGCGGTCCTGAGCCTGGAACAGCTCCTGCTGACCTGGGGTGACAGGTGCGGGGAGTGCTTTACGGGCCAGTGCTTCCCAGAAAAGGGAAGGTTTGCGTGCGCCTCTTCCCCCAGCCCCCGTTGATGTTCTGGTGGGGACTCTGGATAATCGCGTTATTTCATTTTACTAACAGCAGAAGCAAAACAAGGTATAGCTAAAATGACTCCCAGTGCTCCCAAAACAGTGCTCCCTTTTAAATAGTGCAGTTTAATTCCGTAGATCAGAGTGGCCGCTGGGGTTCCCGTTCATCACGCAGTTGGCTGGTCAGGACACGTTGAGTTCTTGTTGGATGTTTCCTTCCCGTGAAGTCTCGGCACGAGGAGGCACGGAGTGAGGCGGGAGGCGCGGATGTGACCCACAGAGGGAACTGTCACTTGGCTGATAGCTCTTCTTGCTGCAACTGGGACACGAGCACTTGGGGGGATTCGGGGCCTCCGCTGTCAAAGCTCCGCTGTCAAAGCCTTACGCAGGTGTCGAGTGGAGTGACAGACGTGGCAGCGGGAGTCATCCCGAGCCCTCCCTTCCTGGGGTCAGGCAGGGTGGGAGGGGAGACTACCAGGAGTGACTTTGCTGAAACCAGGTTCAGCCTGAGCCCACGGGCACTGAAGGAAGAAAGGCCCAGAGCTGGCCCCAAGGGATGGGGGACACCTGTCCCTTCCCCTTTCACACCTTGTTGGTCTGGGTCCTCCTGCAGAGGCTTTGCTGTCCCCTGGCCTCTGGCTCGGCCAGAGCTCAGGCTCTCGTTCCAGGACAGTACCTCCCCCACCACTGCCCAGCTACCTGGCCTCAGGACGTTTGCATGTGGCTTACTTAAAGTGGACACTCCTGCCCTGGCCAGCGTGGCTCAGTTGGTTGGAGTGTTGTTCCGTGCGCCAAAGGGTGGCGGGTTCGATTCCCTGTCAGGGCATGTGCAGGAGGCAACCAGTGGGTGTTTCTTGCTCACATTGATGTTTCTTTCTCTTTCTCCCCCTTTCTCTGTCTAAAACCAGTTAAAAAAATAATGTGAACATTCCTGGGAGTAGTAGGCTTATAGAGACTGGCATCTGGGGTGTTGCTTCCCCAGCACGTGAATTGAATTATTTGTTGGTGGGGAAAGGAGAGTCCAGCGGTAGCTGGGGGTTGTCCAGTGGCAGCTGCGTGGGCCCGGCTGAAGTGGGGGTCGTCCCCAGCGGGGTGGTGGAGGGCAGGCCCGGGCACGGAAGTTACTAGAACTGGAAACTGGTGGCTAACTTGCAGCAAGTGCGTTGGCATGAGGGACGTTCTCAGCTGGATATGTTACTTGAGGGCACTGTTGCTTTCTGCCCTGGGCAGAACATGTTTCCCTGGAGTCTCGGTTCTCCCAACAGGAGGGGTCGGGTTGGTGAAGCCTGCGAAATTGCGTGTGGGAACGGTGCCCAACTGGCGTGCAGCTCCGTGTGCACACGCTGTCCAGGCCCCATGTTCTCACTGTCCCAAGCATCACACGGCTGTAGAAGCCACGAGGGCTCCAGACGGCTGTTCTCACTCAGACTGTCCAGGCAGAGTGTGCTCAGGCCCGGGAGCCTGCCGCGGCGGCTGGCGCTGGTCCATAAGTAAACCCGCCGAGCTTGTTGCAGGAGGTCACAGCCATGGGGGACCTGTCCTGTGCATGGGGGACAGGGGTGCAGCTGTCTGCAGAGGGAGTGGACCTGGGTGTGGGTCTCGCTTTAGGCCAAAGATCTTAACTCAGTTTTCCTTATGCTGTACTTAGATAACCGCGCCATTTGGAAAGAAAGAGAACTAGCTTTTGGGGAGCTGTCCATGGCCAGCACTGGACAGTTCTCCTTGGCGTAGAACCTTCCACAGTGCCCACTGAGGGGAGGCCCTGGGGTGAGCTGCGGGGCGCTCTTCCTCGTCCTCTGTCCGGGCTTTGCTCCTGGCTGTCCCCAGCATCTTTACGGTGGACGGAGTTGTCTGGGCGCTGGGGTTGGGATGCCGTTTCACGGATAAGTGGGTGTCTCTTGGAGGTGGTGGTCCTCGCATTTTAGCAACGAGGAGGAAAGAGGTCCCTGAGGCCCTCCAAGTGGCGGCTTTCCCAGCCCTTCACAGTGACGCCCCGGGAGAGGCAGGTCCCGTTCGTGGGGCCTCGCGAGAAAGCACTTAGGGAAGTGGTGTCCTGGCCGCGTGGGTGGTCGGTGGACCAAGGGCCCGAGGGCTGGCTCCCAGGGCTTCCTGTCGGCACCAGGAGGCCTGTGCCTGCTCTCAGGCCCTTCCACACCTGCCCAGGGTCCACATGCTGATAGACCTATGACTGGAAAGCTTTTCCAGTCACATGTGAGTTGATAAAAATCTTAACAACTGGTTTTGAAAATCTTGAAGCAGAGGTTTAAAAGGACTCTGGAGAAAGTTGCCTCTGATTTGGGGAAATATGCATAGTTCTCAAAAGTGCTTTAGCTCTTTTTGTGTTGATGGAGCAGGAGCCTCATACTTGCTCCGTGATCCGCTCACCTGGGCCTCCTGCAGCCTTGCTCCCTGGGCCCGGGCCAGCCTCCCGCCGTCCAGCATGAAGGTGGGGGCGGGGCGTGGCGGCAGGACCCTCTGTCCGGGTGCTGTGTGCCTGCAGGCTGGGGGGACTGTCCTTCCTGGGCGGCACGGTGAGTTACACACGTGTGTGTTTCAGCACATCTTAGAGTAATTGCCCTTTAACCCCTGTGAAGTGGGGGTGCTGTGGAGTCCGCGTGAGGCTGGAGACCGGCTCTCTCTGTGGCAGGGCTGCGAACGCTTTGAATCAGGACTTCGGATTTTTACGTGTCCTTAAGTGTCTGTCCCAGTAATTGAAAAGTTCAGGAAACAGATAAAAATTGCCCCAATTTGCAAAGTGCATAGATGTCCTCCCTCTTATATGTCTGGCTGCCAGCCTGGCCATGCACCACTGTGTGTGAATAGCTTGAGGCTGGGCCGGAGGCCGGGGATGGAGGCCGGGGATGGAGGCCCGGGACAGGCAGTGGACAGGATGGAGGCCGGGGACAGAGGCCCGGGACAGGCAGTGGACAGGATGGAGGCCAGGGCTGGAGGCCGTAGACAGGAACTGGGGGCAGGGGACTGAGTCGTGGGACGGAGGCCACGGTACTCCCCGCCCTGCCACAGTGGGTGTCGTGAACTCAGCCCTG